CACTTTGTTTTAGTTCTTGAATCTGTTCTCAATTGGAACATTTCCACGAATGTATCTGCTGGCATTTGTCGGGTCGCAGTGTGATTAACTACGATCCTAAGTCTTTCGTGTGGGGTAATTCCTTATCAACGGTCTCCGTGCTTACATGTATACAATAGCTCAAAGTATTTCAAAGAGGTATGAAGTCTGCACGTACTCTTTTGTGTTTTAATGAAAGTTTTAAACTTAACTTTAACTTAAGCCCCGAGTTGGTGGGGTCTTTCAGATAGTTATGGAAGTTGCTGGTCACTCTTGATTTTCTTGAAGTCACGTTGTCTGTCTATCAGTAAGAAGGCTTTTTTCGGACGGGAGTTTCCTTCTGTGTTTGTAGAAGTTTGACACTCTCATCCTAACGGGCTAACCCGCGGGTCGGATTTGTTTACTCTTGTGCTTGATGCATGCTGATCGACTTTTTCTGTGCCCAATTTGTTTAGGGGTAAATAAGGCCTATCAGCATCAGTGTACACTTTCTTTAAGTAAAGGGTCCTTTTTTCGTCATTTTTCACACATGGCTGCATGGAAAAAACAGATTTTTCCAGGGTAACGGCTTACTACTTGCCTGACGAGAAGGCATATGCAACACACGTGCTTAACCTGACCCCAGCGCTGGTCCCAATGTTGCGAGCCTCGCTGGCAGGCCCCATCCTGGTACGCCTCGCAGTAGCGCGCCCTGTTGTGATGGCGTGGGAGGCGGGTCGGTCCTCGTGTTGTGGCAGAAGCGCGGGAAGCAACAGCCTGAGTGCGATAATGGTGTTCTCTGTTTTTCAATGGTATCCTTGTCTGCCCAAGTTTATGTGTCGTTCTTAATAGAGTACAAAACGGCACCATGTGTTTCACGCACAATTTCCCAGTCATAATAAACGCATCAAACATCAAGTCTGCAAGATGTTGTAGCTTAACTTTCAGCGATCCCTTGAGACGTTTCTTCTCGAGTTTGCTCTTCTATTGCGGCCATCGCCCCCCATATCCTTGCCGGGGAAATGAACATGATGGTTTGGCCAGTCCATTTTAACGCTCCTCGAAACACAATCATTAATGGTCTTATTGCGGCCACTCTTCTTACCTCGACGCCGCTACTTGGCACCTTGACTTCCCGTTACCCGACGAGAAACAGACGCGAGGGCGGGAGCTGATGCGTCGAGGCATATCCTCCGTCGTCCGACGAAGAAGACAAGCGAGAGCGGCGAGAATTGCGGCCCACCGGAGACACCCGAGACGGAGAGCACAACATCGAGAGGCTGATCTGTCCGTCGTTTGACGGGACCTTTTTTAACGACGTTGACGTTCTCGTTTTCCCGAAAATCTCGTCCAAGGTCTGCTCCACCCGTCTTGCCAACGCCTCATCTTCGCGGAGGTCCAGCACAGTTGTTGCCTGTTCCCCATCGCTCGCCTCTGACCTTCGCTAGTTCCTTAATTCAGCCGAGCCTTATCAACACGGCGCCTGTCCGCGTCGCTGCCCGAGGCGTCTGGCGATGACGGTAGGCCACGCCGCATTTCCCGGGGCCATATAAGGACCAACGTGCCCTCTCATCGACAACCTGCAGACGGTTCAGGCTTTAGGTTTAGTTGTCGCGAAACCGAGACGCAGATGAAGAGAGAAAAGAACAATGAAAGTAGAGAGAGCAACGTGCGCGCCCTCGCCTAGCTCCTGGTCGAGTGTAAGAGTTGAAGACGAGACCACATGTGGCCGGGCCGTGGGCTGAAGCTAAAGGGGGGCTAACAGGAAGACAGAGATGCCGAGCTCACACGGCGGTCAGCTTGTCTTGCAAATTAACAAAAATGACGTGGATGACATTTTTCCTCAATTAAAATCGATGCGACAAGTTTACGCTATCTTCGATGACCCAAACACACCCACAACGTATATAGAACGCACCATCTTGGCGATCAGGTGAAAAGGCTATATTCGCTGGACCACCAACATTACGCCACATACAAAGGCTACAACTAACAGGCTTTTTAAAGATAATGTAAAGAGCTAGTACGATATCAGGGATATCGCGACCCGAATATACGGAAACAAAGTCACGTTTCCGGCGATGTACTGTGCACTTTGATACTTAGCTCTGGTGAGATTTAAACTCTGACCAGAAGGCCACATTTACCTTAAATGTTGGCCAAAAGGTATTTTTGGTAGCCTCTGTATGTAATACTATGTATTGCCTTATTCTATAGGTACGCTGTGTACATCAAGTGGGAAGATGCTGTTCTTCACTGCAAGCCTTTGGGTCATGCTGAGCCTCCTGGCGCCCAGGAGCTCTGGGGATGAGATGGGCGAGTTCTCTGGGAACGGGCCTCTCGACAACGTAGGGGAGGGGGGAAAGGATGGAGTTGAAACCTATGCGAACGAAGTCAAGATGCTGAAGACCTTGCTGGGAGGCAAGGAGAGCGGGAAAAACCTGCTGGGTCGAATGATCGGCATAGAGAAGAACAAGGACAACGGACTGGAACTACGTAATGAAGGTAAGACCTATACACCATATAATATCTATCTATCTCTTTATCATACATATCATACTTACGTATCCTATGTGATATATATATTTCAATTATTGTTACTATTGATGTTGCTAAGTTGTTAATGCAATTAGAGTAAATTGATTTACATTGCAAGAAATTAGATTACCGCATCTTTCTAGATTTTACTTAACCTGTTTAAAGGATGACGTTAGCGCCATGTCATACATATCATGCAATGTCTATCTACCTATCTTTTTAGCATACGGTATCTATGAAACGTATTTATCTATCTATATTTTGATTATCGTTACTATTGAGTATTGATGTTGTTAAATTGTTGATGCAATTAGAGTAAATTGATTTACATTGCAAGAAATGAGATTACCGCATCTTTCTAGACTTACTTAACCTGTTTAAAGGATCATGCCTTGCCATGTGTTAGTGCCATATAACACATCAGCATTTGATTGTCTTGTGTTACTTTTAGAGAGACAGGCCAAGCCGAACCTTGGTGACGTGATAAATGACCTGTGCGGGGTTACACCGAAACTGGGTGAGTCTTCACAGTCTTCTTTATGGTCTCCATCCTGCCTCATTTGGTGTTTATAGTCTCCTCTGTAAACTTTGACTCCTACCGACTATTGTTACCTCCATGAAAAATGGAGGGATTGGTTTTTGGCATGTTTGCACATGTGTTTGAATGTATGCTTTTGCATGGCCCTAGATATGTTGTAATGGATATGGTTACTAGTTCAGCCTGTTCAAAAAAGGAGACTGTGTCTACATGTGTTAGCACTCGCTGTTTTTCGCATATGTCCTCCTTGGACCGTAGTGATGTTCCCTTGCACAGCAAAGAAAGACTTGTAGACACCATAGTGAATGAGAAGAAAACACAGTCACTGTCATACAAGATCTAAATATTTTATGGAGGTGTCAGATGTCCACATTGTTGTTGGGGCTGTTTTAGTGCTTTGTACGCAGAAACCTGTTTCCTCGTATGGTGTCTTCATACGTGACCTATCTGCGATCTACATCAACAGTCTCTTCTTTCCATGGCACCAGAGGTGTTTATATGTACATGTACCAAAAACATCATATGCAAAGGCAAACGCATTTTACATGACCTTGAGTAGGTAAATGATACAGATTTAAACGCCGTAATATACTGGTATAATTGCTTCACCACCAATGTTCGCGGCTTTAAATCATGAGTCATAGAATCGACCTCCCGCTTTTGAAGGCGAGAGTTGCAGCAAAATAATCCCAATGACACACTAGGATGGAATTTATCTTTTTTTTTTTCAGGACGGATCTTCCCCGTGAATTCTCCAGTAGGACACTACAAGTACGACTTTGCCGAAGCTAAACACGCCTGTGAACAGCAGGGCGCTTCCCTCGCCACCTACCACCAGCTGTACGAGGCCTGGGAGGACGGGCTCGAGCACTGCGCGTGCGGGTTTCTGTCGGACGGCACTTCCCGTTATCCAATGCAGACAAAACAGTTAGTACATGTGTATTACATTAACATATATGGCATATGAAAACACACCATGTTGCGACCCATATTGCATGGGACCAATGTTACAGGTGAGGGTTGTTCTGCTGGCTGATTGAATTAGCTGCTAAGTATAAAGATAAATTGGGTCAAACTCAGTTGAGCAGATACAGAATTGTGTGGAAAGCTAATCTTGTAGCAGATACACGGTGTTATGGATAGATGTAAATACTGGGTGGCTCCGATAGTTTATCTTTAAACATATATTATATGGGAGTTTGAAGAATATTAGCATACAAGGGGGTTTCGAGAACAACGAAAAACACAATAAATGGGGGTTTCTAGATCACTTTTACTTAAAAAAGCTCTACATAGGGGTTTCAGAATACTTGTTACTAAAAAGGAACTACATGAGGTGCAAGAACAACGAGAAGTACTGTATGGAAGTTTCGAGAACAATTGCTACAAACGTAGGAGTATTGAAACACTTGCTACCCGATGGTAAATGTTGGAATTTCATTGTGGAATGGGAAGGAGGGTGGACTAGAAATACACCGTATTTCCTCTCGAAAAATGTCTGCCTTTCTAATATTACACATTGACGCCTCTTAACAATGTATAACTGCATCTTTTTGTTCTGTTCTATTTGTCACTCACAGAACTGGCTGTGGCAACGTTGGTATCAACACGTGTGGGTGGCAAAACACTTGGGACGCCTGGTGTTTCCGCACACTGAGCATCTGTGACTGAGGTACAGATATAGATTCCAGGACAGTGCGTATCTAGTTCTATTTGTAAATGGGTTAGCGTTGAGATCAGGCGTGGTTCTGGATAGTCTGTGTATCGAAGAACGTCTACTAAATTTGACCCAGGCATGGTTCTGGATACGCAGGGCCTGAGCATGGTTCTAGATAAAGCACTGTTCTGGATACAACAACGGATGATGCCGACGACAACAGAACAGTAGTCTAGTAGGATGTCGTTCTAGACCTAACATTTTCCAATAGTAGCTATAGCCCTGCTTGCCGCTCAGAAACCAGTCTATCTTTACTAGAGGCATCCATGTCAGTTGCAGAGAAAGGGCATTCACCATTTCTTCAAATGAAAAAAAAAATACTCCCCGAAAAGAAGATGTGCAAAATTTATGACTCAACTTTGAAACCTCTCGTGGCCATTTCTATGTAGATGCTAGTAACCTAGGTCTAGGTTGGAGAGAAAAAAACAACAGGACTTTGTTCTGCAAATTTTCAAATTACGGATACCAATTTTATTGGAATTTTTCCACCATGTGGTTGCATTGACCAAGTTACTTTTTCCACACCCCAAAATCTTTAAAACTCCACAAGGGTGCGTTCTACTTGATAATGTCCTCCTAATGCCAGAAAAAGCATCAGTCATGCTGCCAATTTTTCCAGAAAAAGATTTCTAAATTACCAACAATGATATTTGTGTACATCCGCGTTGCCTGCCAATGCAACTTTCATGTATGCCCCAGGTATGTTTTTGTTTGTTTGTTTGTTATGCACGCCATTCTAGTATATTACAGTGTTCCGTACAATTTCAAACATCTTGTTTACATGTAACCTAACTGTCATCAATTGACCTGAGAAATTTGAATATATCAGGAAAGGCTGTTGACTGTAAAAGTGGTTTATAATTATCAGTCAGAGAATGCATACTTCAGTCATTTCAACTAATAACGCTGTTTTAATTTTGTTTTGTTTTTGGTTGTAACCAGGGATAGTTTGATGCTGGCAGAATAGTTGTAAGGCATCCAATGCGATTTCGTGGTGTCAAAAAAAATTTGAATGAACAGATCTGTCTGAAAATTATATTTACTGCCATTTCCTATCACATTTTAACATCATTTAATACTTGAATCGTTTAAAGCAGCCCTAAAACAAGCTATGCGACAAGTCCCTTAACATTTCGGTACCACCTATGAAAGCCTACGATATGTATCGAACAACCGTTTTACGCCAGCAGTATCAGACATTTGCCTCACAGATATCATTACAACATGGAAAAAGGTTTCAACCTACTGCATTAAAAAGACCAGAAAATTGACTTTTAAAATCCCGTTTCACTGTCCTGAAATCGCTTTCGATGCCCTTTAGAATCCTCATTGTACTTAATTTTAGATGTTAATTCTTCATTTAAACAAGACTATTACTTGTGACTTGTGCTGGCTTCCTATGTAGATGCAAAAAACGACATCAGAATAAAAACTTCTTTAAAAGCATGATGTGTCAGTTGCGTCGTTGTGGTTGCTAGACTTCGATGTCATACATTGTTAACCCCTGGCCAATCATGTTAGGCCATAGCAAGTAAATTTATGGATGACATCCTCCGCAGACTTTAAATCTAATGCGACATGACTAAAAACACAAGGCAGGCCAAAGAAAACAATGTTTCTACATTTTCAAATTTTGACACCATAAACCGTGTGAAACAAGAAATGATATCTGAATTGTGCTAGGTTTACTGTCAACTATTACAACATTCATTTCTCGCTGAAACAACCATATAAATAAAAGATTTCAATTATTACACGAATGATTTTGATTCAGTGGGAACATTACATATGCACAGCCTCCATCACATATAAAAGGAATGAAACACATCACTGCATCAAGTCAAAAACAAAATATTAAATCAGAGCCTTGTCTTTTCTCCTCGCTTCATATTTATCTGCCATTCACGTTCCGGCACTGTCAGGGGGCATCATAATAGTTTTTCTCCAAATTCAGACGAAAATTAATGCGCGCGCTGATGTCATCCGCGAAAAAGTACTTGCTGTGGCCTTACTACCGTCATGGTACATGAGATAAAGCCCAAGTGTACGGGTGAGGCTAGTTCTGACTGTGTTGGTTTTACCTTACTGAAGGCCTCTTACCTGTGAATCCGAACAATGGAAAAATAAACTGACCATGCACCAGTGCCGCCAGAGGATACCACAGGAGTTTGACATGTCTGATGACATGATCCAAAACGCCTTTGCTAGAAACAAATGCACAAAGAAATCTGTGAAATTCGTAACATCTGTCTATCTATCTATCTATCTATCTATCTATCTATCTATCTATCTATCTATATGTATATACAGATGTGTGTGTGTGTGTGTGTGTGTGTGTGTGTGTGTAACGATGTGAAACGGTCGTATCGAACTCTTGACAGTAAATCAGAATAGACCCCGGTGTCTGTTTCCCAAGGGTACAAGATCGAAGACAAGGCAGGATTCAACCCCGCGACCAGTGGTCTGAGCCGAACACGCTACCGCAAGTTCGCGTCACACGATCCCACGACACGATGAATTTTACCGTATACACATAGTTAACGGGGGGTACCCTAACTTCGGACAGATTTTTTACTGATCTTATTATGCAAAAGTACGCCGTGTTTGTTGCCACTAACTTCGCTAATTAAAAAGTCAAATAAACATAGTCAATGCATACAGCAGTTATTTGCATGCAAAGTATTTATTTATAGTTTTGTCGAAAAAAGGAATATCGGTCATTTTCACAAATCATAACAATGACGCTGGAAAGAGGATTACCGTATTGCGAGGTCTCGTGCCCAGAAATAAACGACCTGTATCAAGATTTGACACAACTGCCACATACACAAGGAATAAAGCTTTAGAAAACAGTAAATATGTGCGTCTCTGAGTGTTTGTTTTGTAGAAAACTGACCCGTGAAAAACAATGTCAACACCACTGTCGTCTGCATTTCCCATGATTCCCCACATTGATTGCGTAAGCCGGGTCTTCAGTGGAAACACGGACCGATTGCGTTAGATAGTCCAGGAATTATTTCTTAACTGTAACGATAAGTTTACGGTACAGAAATGAGAGTGAAATGGTAATGGTACTGTAATGGTAAGCTCACGGTACAGAAGTGATAGTTAAAACAGTAAACATAACAGTACAGTGAAAAAATCAGGAATTACAGCACCCTCCTCTTATGAGACGAGAAGTACACACAATCACAATTGTGCTGTCTAAAGAAAGCTAAAATATCATAAACTTCTATTCTTATTTTTATGTACTTGATTTCGTCACCGACGCCTGAAGAGAAAAAACATACCAAAGCTTTCGAAGTTAGGGCACACTGTCTAGCGTAGCCGCATTCACGAAGGTATATTCATGAAAACGTCTCACTGATTTTGTCGCTTGTAACGCGGAGCGCGAAGTGCCCCTCCAAAAAAAAAGAAAAAAAAAAACATTTCCAGCCCTACCGTTGACCTTTTACCCATCCTAAACCTTCTTAGTGTGCTATTTACAACAGAAACGTTTCCTTACCTATTACGACTCTGGACGAATCCACATAGTTTCAAACTATCGTTCAGAATTTGATAGAAGAATTTGACCGAGAAAAGTTTGGGTCTGTCCTGCAATGTTTATCCACTTCTTCATTGTGGAGGGACCAACAACCGCGGAAATATTGACTCTCAGGAGTCTACCATTGTAAAGCTTGAGAGGTAATACTGAAAGCGGTTGGAATTTTCCAGACCATGTATACAGAGTGCTCAACTCAGCGTGACGGGGCTATTCAATAACTGTAGGGCGCTGTCAAGCCACGTTGACAGAGTCATACGTACTGCGATACTCGTAATGGACGCTAGAGGGCGCAATATACTAGTAGCTGAATCGACAGGTGACAGCCAAACAATCCGACTTTCCAGTTTCACCGAGTAAAAATGAGGATAAGTCTGTTATGTCATACCGTGTCTCAGATGTCGTATTCATTGATTGGTTGACCAATAATTTCTCATCTACTAGCGGTGATAAACCCGGAAGTTCGGTGTTCTGAAAATTCTGGTCCGGCTGAATAATCGGTGCGGGGCGTGACCTAAACAAAGTCTGTACGTGCTGCGGTAAGCATAGAACTCTGACTTCATTAAAGTGATAGTGTACAGAGTTAAGCTGTAGAACTTCTAGGTTTAGAAATATTATTAAAGTATTTATCCATTTAGTGTAGAGTTATGAACTTTAGATGTCCCATGCCCGGAATTCAGCCATGTAAGGATGCAATGGTACAATGCCCTATAACGTCTTGTGAAACTTATTCTTTTGCTAAATCATAGGCAAAGTAAACTGCAACGCCTGAAATAATTGACCCCACAGTTCACACACAGTTCACGACCACAGTTTATTCTTAAAAATTTAAAAATTTAGCCCCTCGTTCACCTTGTATTTGTGGGTCTCGTTGTGAGAGCATAATATGATTTTCTGTTCCACTGCCCAGTATATATTCAGCAAAGAATCACACTACTCAACAAACTACAGAACTCCATCTTTGATGTGCACAACATGTCTTAACAATTCTTATGTAACATTCTACTTAGAGGATCACCCGATTTATGTATGCAAAAGTACGCCTTGTTTGTTGCCACTATAACTTCGCTTAGTAAAAAGTCAAATAAACATATTCAAAGCATACATCTGTTATTTGCATGCTTAGTATAGTTCTATATATTTATTTATCGTTTTGTCAAACAAGGGAATATCTGTCTTTCTCACCAATCATAACAACGGCACCGGAAAGAGGGTCACTGCATTGCGGGGTCTCGTGCCCAGAAATAAACGACCTGTATCAAGATTTGACACAACTGCCACATACACAAGGAATGAAGCTTGTTTTACAAAGTATATGGGTCTCTGAGTGTTTGTTTTGTAGAAAGCCGGCCCGTGAAAACAACGTCCACTCCACTGTCGTCTGCATTTCCCATGATTCCCCACATTGATTGCGTAAGCCGGGTCTTCAGTGGAAACACGGACCGATTGCGTTAGATAGTCCAGGAATTATTTCTTAACTGTAATGATAAGTTCACGTGACAGTCAAAACAGTAAACATAACAGTACAGTGAAAAAATCAGGAATTACAGTATCCTCCTCTTGTAAGACGAGAAGTACACACAATCGCAATTATACAGTCCAAAGAAAGCTAAAATATCATAAAATTCTATAATCTTTATTTACCTAATTTCATCACCAACACCTGAAGAGAAAAAATACCAAAGCTTTCGAAGCTAGGCAAACTATCTAGCGTAGCCGCATTCACGAAGGTACATTCATGAAAACGTCTCACTGGCTTTGTCGCTTGTAACGCGGAGAGTGAAGTGCCCCCCCCCCAAAAAAAAACAAACAAACAAACAAATCTTTTCCTGCCCTACCGTTTACCTTTTAACCGTTCTCAACCTTCTTAGCGTCCTATTTAGAACAGAAACGTTTCCTTACCTATTACGACTCTAGACAAACCCACATAGTTTCAAACTATCGTTCAGAATTTGATAGAAGAATTTGACCGAGGAAAGTTTGTGTCTGTCCTGCAATGTTTATCCACTTCTTCATTGTGGAGGGACCAACAACCGCGGAAATATTGACTCTCAGGAGTCTACCAATGTAAAGCTTGAGAGGTAATACTGAAAGGGGTTGGAATTTTCAAGAACATGTAAACAGAGTGCTAAACTCAGCGTGACGGGGCTATTCAATAACTGTAGGGCGCTGTCAAGCCACGTTGACAGAGTCATACGTACTGCGATACTCATAATGGACGCTGGAGGGCGCAATGTACTAGTAGCTGCATCGACAGCTGACAGCCAAACAACCCGAATTTCCAGTTTCACCGAGTAAAAATGACTAGAAGATAATCAAATCGACATTTTGTACATTGGAGAGAATGTACTAGATAAAGGATAAGTCTGGGATACCATACCGTGTCTTAGATGTCGTATTCATTGATTGGTTGACCAATAATTTCTCATCTACTCGGGGTGCTAAACCCGGAAGTTCGGTGTTCTGGGCAGGGACCAGCTTAAGGACTTCCCATTGAAATCCATGCTAAAACTACTAGAAACAAGCACTTTAAAACACATTGACCTTCATCTCAAAACTCAAGTCTTTACCCACACTGGAAAGCTGGATTTGTCAGGTGTCTTTTGGTACAAATAGTGGAAGTTCAACTCCGGGGTTTTAATGAGCTACAGCTAAAATATTGAAATGATACTAGGATTTCACCCCCTGGCAAAGTGGGACAGTCCATAAAGATCACAAGTATTTAGAGGTCAATGGCAGGCCAAACCATGGAAAAGGTCACACTTTATGGCCATATTTTAAAAATATACATTCTTCTGTCCTTCTTACCAGAAAACTGGGCCTTTCTGAGCAAAATTTGCCCAGGAAATAAATCATCTAAAAATAAGTACCAAAATATATCGTACACACTGCTAGTTCTGCGCATGACGATTTGCTGGTCCCCCCCCTTCTAAAAATTCTGGTCCGGCTGAAAAATCGGCCCGGGGCGTGACCTAAACAATAGAGATAAACACAGAACTCTGACTTCATTATAGTGATAGTGTACAGAGTTAAGCTGTAGAACTTCTAGGTTTAGAAACATTGAAGTATTTACACATTTAGTGTACAGTTATGAACTTTAGATGTCCCATGCCCCTAATTCAATCATGTAAGGATGTAATGGTACAATGCCCTATTATGTCTTATAAAACTTATTCTTTTTCTAAATCATAGCCAAAGTGAACTTTAACGCCTGAAATAATCGGTCCCCACAGTTCACCCACAGTTCACGACCACAGTTTATTCTTAAAAAATTTAGCCCCTAGTGCACCTTGTATTTGCGGGTCTCGTTGTGAGAGCATAATATAATTTCTGTTCCACTGCCCAGTATATATTCAGCAAAGAGTCACCCTACTCAACAATCTACAGAACTTGGTAGGCTCTATCGTTGATGTGCACAACATGTCTGAACAACTCTTATGTGACATTTTACTTAGAGGATTACCCGATTTATGTATGCAAAAGTACGCCTTGTTTGTTGCCACTAAGTT